GGGAGCGAACCCGGGTCTCCTGCATTGCAAGTAGATTCTTTACCACTGAGCCAACAGGGAAGGTTGGGCTTGGTGAGTTTCAAAAATAACCACAGTCTGCAAGTCTACTTTATAGACACTGTGTTCAGTCAACTTTGTAAACACACACACACACACACACATATACACACTTAAGGTTACTGTAACCTTGCCCGCCGCAGTCAGGGGGCGCGGTGGGGGTGACACAGGTCTGCCCTGGGTTAAAGAGTAGGTGGAGTGCTTCCCTGCGGGTCCAGGGGTTGAGAATCTGCCTTGCACCGCAGGGGACATGGCTTCCATCCCTCGTCAGGGAAGGTCTCACATGCCACGGAACAACCAAGCCCGTACGCCACCACTACTGAGCCCACGTGCTCCACAGCAGGAGAAGCCACCACAATTCAAAGCCCGTGCACCAGAACTAGAGAAGAGCCCCTGCTGCCTGCAACTAGATATAGCCCTCTCGCAGCCACAAAGATCCAGCACAGCCAAAAATAAAATAAAAATAATCTTAAAAAGAAAAAAAGTGTGTGTGGAAGTAAGGATGTGGGGACAGCAAAGCTTGTCTGAGAAGGGCAGATAGAGCAGTGACCAGTCAGGGCCCCAGGTCCCACAAGGAGTCATCCTGAGATGGGAAGGCTGGGGTGGGTTTATAGGCTGAAGAAGGAGAGCATGACAGAGGGGGAAGGAATACACAGATTGGGAGGGTCACTGATGCCACGAAGGGCAGGGACAGACTTGAGCACACAGTGGGCAGAGGAAGGACACTTCACCCTCTGAGCTGGGGGAGGAAGCAGGGCGGAGAGGAGGTCAAATTGGGAGCGGGAAGACAGACAGCTGGAGGCGCGACTAAGGGGATTCTGTTCTCAGTGCAGTGTCTGCAGAGAACATGCAGCGCGTGGGGGGGGTGGGGGGACAAGAACATGAGGCAGCAGAGTGGCTCCGAGGGCCCTCCTGAAGCTGGGGGCCTTGAAAGGGGCCCCACTCCTGGTGAGAGAGCAATTTTTTCTGGCAGAAATGAAGGCCCATGGGGCTGATCTAAGGGCTGATTGATTTGCTGATGTCCCCGGTATGGCCCGAGAGAGCTGCACAGGAGCCGAGGGTGTAGATGAGAGAAGCAGTCAAGCATCAGCTGCATGCTCTGGGCTTCGGACAGAAAGCAGGCCAGGAGGAAGCTGAATGACCAGAAGAGCATGAAAGGAAAGGAGCCTGGCGGTTTCTTTGATAGTGGTGAGTGAGTGACAAGGAAGGACATCTGGGCCGAGTCTGCTGATCTGTTGTTGCGGTTTAGTCACTCAGTTGTGCCCAACTCTTTTTCAACCCATGGACTGTAGGAACCCATGGACTTTTTTTGACCCAGGCTCCTCTGTCCATGGGATTTCCCAGGCAAGAATACTGGAGTGGTTTGCCATCTCCGTCTCCAGGGGATCTTCCCCATCCTGGGATTGAACCTGTATCTCCTGCACTGGCAGGCGAGTTCTTTACCACCAAGCCACCAGGGAAGCCTAGTCTACTGATTTAGGGGAGGGCAAAGCTGAAAGAGGAAATGGCAACCAAGTTTTCTCAACTTTATCATTAATCCCTATAAATATAGAAATTACTCAGCTGTGTGTAACTGACAATTTCTAGATAGAGGCTCAGCCTTGAAATGTATAAGTCCAACCAACAACTCATTGCTACAAAGTAGAGCAAAAGGAAGGTCAGATAAACTCAGTTATCAGCTCTGTCAACCCCTTAAAAAAGATCCGTTCTTTTTCTAATGATTCACCCAAGCCACCCAAGAAACATGGAGGGTCATCACCCCAGATGACACCCAGACCTCTCACTCCTGATCACCCACCTTAAGAAGCTCCACAGCCACAAGCACCTCCTCGGCAGGAACCTTATGATCCCCTAGCATGTTGGAAAGAGTCCACTTGAGGGGCTTCAGCAGGAAGACTCCGACCCCCCAGGAGATCCAGCTGCTGTCTACACTGGCCATGAAGTCCGACTCCCGCTGCAGCTCCCCTCGACTGCCGGTGAAGAAAGAAAAGGGCAGGTGGTAGGCTTTACTGCAATGGCCCCACCTCCCTCCTCAGCCCAAAGAGGAATGTGATCGTCATCTTCATAAGCACCATTTACCAGGCACCTTCATGTCAGCAGAGCAGCGCTGTTTACACTGCAGCTCCAAGCCTCACAGCAATTTTTTGGCAAGAGAAAACTGAGGGACTGAGAAGATGACAGAGGCCAAAGCTAAACTATAATTTGGCTCCAAAATGCAAGCTGATAAGGCTCCAGAGACACAGGAGTCCATAGGGCCTGTGTTGAGACTTCCCTCGAAGAACGGAGCTCAAAATAATAATAGATTAGTGTCAAGGGCAAGATATGAGGATGAAGACAAAGCCGTTCAGAGAAAGGGTTTTCTGCTAGTCCTAAGCTTGGGTGGAGAAGCATTTCACAGTCCTAGTAATAAGTAGCTAAATTTACTGAATGCTTCCTATGGGCCAGTCACTATGCTAAGGGGTGCTAAGGAGTATTTCTTCAAATACACAAAATAAATCTAAGTACAATCACGTTTTATAACTGGTCAAACTGAGGCTTATGGAGAGGTACATATTTTTCCCTCGGTCACATAATTTAGCATATGGTAGAGCCAGGATTTGCACCCAGGCCATTTGGCCCTCAATCGAAGCTGTTAACTACTCTGCTATGCTGCTTCTATGGAAATATGTCTCCCTCTGAAATTCTTCAGGTCCCAGACTCTGACAAACATCAGGAGGCATCAATGGGGTGCCAGCAGTCAGGAGAGGAGAAATAGGGGTACCACAGGTCTGTGGGTAGGAAGTGGGAGAGGATGGTCCTGTTGTAATAAGGACGCTCAGATTCTTTCTGCCCCTCACTGACTTTTTCAGCTGTCTACTCTGTGCCCCATGTGGTGCATGAATGGAAACTGTCCTAGAAAGAAGCTCCAGAAATGGCTTGCCCCATCAATGTCAGTCAAGGGAAGGGGGACTCTCGGGAGGGAGGAAGATCTCTTAATTGGGAAGAGGGTTGAACTAAAAGCAACATATCAAAGTTGACTTTCTTGTCTCCCACGAAGTCACTGTGCTAGAGAGGCCGCTCAGGATATGACATATACAACATAAGTGCGAATGCTTAAGACTCAGCGGACCCCAGGCCCAGCCCTGCCAGAACCTCCAACCGTCTGTGTGACCCCCAGGAAGTTGCTCCATCTCTCAGACTCTTCTGAGCATCTCTCAGCATCTCTCAGCTGCTTCTGTCTGAGAGGATAATTCTGTCACCGCAGGACTGCTGAGGGGGCCAGATGAAATGGTGTACGTAAAATACCTGCACACAGCAAAGTGCTTTACATCTGTTAGATGTTCACGCTACCAACCTCAGGAACCTAGTAAAACCCTGCAACCTGTCGCACAGGTAGCACCTACAGGGCCTTCTCGGATCACCAAGATACTCAGTCATGTCCTCCGCTCTAAACAGCTGTGCCAAGGACAAGCCAAGACAGGCCAGACACAATACCTGTGCCGGGGGGCTGCTGGTAAGGTCCCTACACACCTCTCCCCCACTACTACTTTCTTCTTAGCTCCGCCCTTCCTTAGTTCGATAAATCCTGTCTCGCAGACCTTCTGTTGTGGGGTTATTCAAATTTGGAAGCCCCTACATATCGGGATTCCAGTCCAGATCACTGTCACCTCGGCCAGGCTGGCTTCTCCTCCTGCCGTCTGGATCGCATCTAATCAGGCTATCCTGGCCCCTCAATTTCCTCCATACCCCACCTCTCATTCCCTCCCCTTCGCCCACTGAGCAGACACACACGGCTCCTGGAAGCCAGACCCGAGACTGGGCGCGGTGCGCCCGGGAGAACGGCCTGGGTCGCTGCCCGCGGGGAGCCGCCCCGCCCCCCGGCCGGGCCCGCCCTCACCGCAGCAGGTCCTGCAGCACGGTGGCCAGCCCCAACGGGACGCTGCCCTTGCGTTGAAAGGCCTCCTGCAAGTCCCGCAGACGCAGGCGCACCACCCCCTGGCGGCGGCTGTGGCTCAGCACCAACGGCGCCCAGAAGCCCATCTTGCTGTCCCAGTCGGTGCTGTTCACCTCGCGACTCCTTTTGAAGGCGGAGAACAGGAAGGACATGCGCTCCTCATCCTCCTCCCACTCGGGGGGCAGTAGGCCCGCCGGGTCTCCCCCAGCCGGGGCCTCGGCCTCCCGTTCCGGGGACCACATCGGAACCCCAGCCCCGCCAAGGAACCGAACACAAGCCTGGCCCTAGTCCCCTTCCGCCCTGGTTCCCTCCCGGCTTCCGTTCCTGGTCACCTCCTCCTGTCATTACGTCATCACCGCGTGAAATAAGTCTCGGACGTCCTCATGGCGCATGCGTTTCTATACCTGGCCTGCGCCAGGAGGGTAGATAATGACCCTATTTTCTAAGAAGCTCAGAGCGCTTGCGCCGACCCCTCCTCCCGCAGCCTTTGTGCGGAAAGAAGGACGTCGCGCGTGCGCGGCGGTTAGGTGAGCGTCGCGCCCCCTCGAGAGTCATAGAGTTTGGCCGAGCGTTGTAGAGAGGCGAACGATTATGCCTCAAACTTGTAGTAGTTTCAGGTACTAGGACTCGAGAGTGTCGCTAAGGGGCCTAAAGGCACCAGGATCGCCGCGTGGATCACCGTTCATCGCTACTTGACCAGGCGGTCTTACTTCGGACATTTAAACTTCCAAGTTAGCCTTCGTTTACAGTAACGTCAGCGGATGAACAAAACTGTCACTCAAGCTCTGTGACAATGTACACACCGATTTTCAGGAATACACACGCTTCTACTTTTCTTGCTCCCCACGTTCTACCCTGGATTGCCCCCTCTGTTTCTTTCTCAGAATCGGTATCCTTTAAGATCGAGCCCAGTTCTAATCTTCCTTGAGAGATTTGCCTGGTGGTCCAGTGGTTAACACTCCCGGCTCGCACTGTAGGAGGCATGGGTTTGATGCCTGTAGGGCAGCAAAGATCCCACAAGCCTCGTGGCGACGACCCCAAACAAACAAATAACAACGAAACCTTTCTTGAAACCATTTCAGACTGCATGATTGTTGATCTCTTTCTGGAGTGGACGGTTTAGCATTTACCAGTCTGTGTCCTGATCCCCGTGGCCAGGTGCAATTTCCTTAAATATCTACATCGCATAGTGGTGCCATAGAAATGTTTCATAAACTGAAGGATGCATAACTTGACTCTTGCCCTTCTAATATCTTAGAATATTGTTAGAGTCTCAAAAAAAAAAAAAAAGAAAGAAAGAAAGAAAGAAAACCATGAGTAAGGAATATGTCTGGTGTCTTAAGAATCAGTTTTCTTTTTAACCGAACCATTTAAAAGGCAAAAGGAGTTTCTTTAATGGAACCAGGTAACAATCATCAGAGTTGAATGTAAACGTGGCCTCTGCCCCTCACTGGCAGTGTGACCTTGATTAAATACCTAAACTTTCTGAGCTCCTTTTGTAAAATTGTATTTCCTAATAGGGTTGTTGGAAGGAAATGTTATGTAAAATAACTGGCACATAATGTAGTGGGTGTTATCACTGAGTGGCAGGCTGTTTAGTAGCTGGGACCCAGTTTAAGGAAGAATTTTAATAAGCATTTTGGAGGAGGAGAAGGGATATGATTGGTTACACGGATAAATGTGTCCACTGATACTAAGACATTATGTTATATTCTCCCAAGAATGTTCACAGTCAATATCTCATTTAATACTCATAGCAACTGACAAAAATTTTCCTTGACCACAGGTTCTTCTGAAGCCTCTTCTTAACTATACTTTGTCAACCTTGGCCCATAAAGATGTAAACAAAGACTAACAGCTTCTGGCAGCTGAAAGCATATTCACAGGATGACCCTAGCCACCTGTTAAAGTGCCTACCTGAGAACACTCCAGGTTGTCAAAAAACTTATTGTTTGTTTCCATCCAACACCTGAGACACGGGCTCTGTCTCTTGGTCTCTGCAGGAGGGGAGGAGTCTTACTCTGATAAGCCCTAGTTAGCAAACCTATATGAGTTTTACAGGGATCAACCTCCTTTTGTGGGTTTTTTTTTTTTAATTTCTCACTGCCCTAACCCTGCTGAGACACCCTCATCCTCTTACCCATTCCCTCGTTCTCCCTTTAAAGAGCCCCATCACCTCTGTACAAATGAAAGTTGAGTTCAGCTCACCCTGGACTCTTTTCCTATTGTAATAGTATATTACTGATTAAAATCTGTCCTGACCACTTTAGCTAGTGTCTGGCTTTATAAACAAAGAACAAATTTTGATCCAACCCTGTGAGATGTGTTGGTACTTCTTCCATTTTACAGAAGGGAAAGTTGTATCATGACTACTTTGAGTCTGGTGGAAAACATTCCAGAAAAGAATAGTATATAATGTGAGTTGTACCCCCGAGAAACACATTTCAGCTATGCTGTCATACCCTATAAAACGACCCACTGGTCTATGTCACGAAAGAGTCCAGGTCATTCTTTCTACCCTAGTCCCTGAGTCTGATAAAATAGGCCTGCTTCTAACCATTTTCCTTGGTGGTCAGATGGTAAAGAGTCCACCTGCAATACGGGAGATGTGGGTTTGATCCCTGGGTTGGGGAGATCCCCTGGAGGAGGACATGGCAGCCCACTCCAGGACTCTGGCCTGGAGAATCCCCATGGACAGAGGAGTCCGTGGGGTTGCAAAGAGTCAGACACGACTGAGCGACCAAGCACTGACACCACCTAAGCATTTTCAGGAGAGCAGAGTTGTGGCCACCTGTGTCTCGAAAGCACCACTGGATTCCTACACCTCTGGGTGCATAGTTCTCTGCTTCCACCTTTTGGAGATTGGAAGAGCTACTGGGAGTAGTGGAAATGGAAAGAAAGCCCTGCTGATCCTGAGAGGGGTGATTGGATACACAGCACACTTTCACACTGCTGAGTTTTCAGGCCCCACACTCTTCCTCTGCTCTGTGGGACTGGCAATTTTTCACCCTGTTGTTGTTTGGGGCTTCCCTCATAGCCCAGTTGGTAAAGAATCTGCCTTCAATGCAGGAGATCTGGGTTTGATTCCTGGGTCGGGAAGATCCCCTGGAGAAGGAAATGGCAATCCACTCCAGTATTCTTGCCTGGAAAATCCCATGGACAGAGGAGCCTGGCAGGTTTAATCACTCCATCATGTCCAGTCTTTTGTGACCCCATGGACTGTAGCCTGTCAAGCTTCTCTGTCCGTGGTATTCTCCTGGCAAGAATACTGGAGTGGGTTGCCATGCTTTCCTCCAGGGGATTTTCCTGGACCAGGGGTCGAGCTCACATCTCCAGCAATGCAGGTGAATTCTTTAACATCGGGCCACTGGGAAAGCCCAACATGAAAACATATATGTGTATATTTAATCTGATGGACTGCAGCTCTAAACGTCACCAAATCTGTACCCTTAGGAACATACAATACACCCTGATACATATTCAGCCAGAGGCCGATTATAGGCAACAAAGGGAGCATTAGTAGGCAAAACAAAAAAAAGACTCCTACAGTCCCATCAGCACCATCCTCCAGGCCCTATCTCCTGCCTCCAGAACCTTCCTGCTACTTCTCCATACAAAAGAATTCAGTGAAGGGTATTTAAGAGGGAATAATATGCTATGATGGTATATGTTGGCTCTGCATTCATTCAAAAGTAATGCCTGAGAACCAGCTATATTTCCAGTATACATACTAAATTATATAAATTTATTTATATTTTAAAATGGACACACAGACATAGTAAACAGACTAGGGTATACCCGGGGGGAAGGAGAGGATGGGACAGATTGGGAGAGTGGAGCTAAACATTGCCATCACCGTATGGAAAATAGACAGTGGTGGGGAGTCGCTGTATGTCTCAGCGAGCTTAAATTCCACGCTCTGTGACAACCTAGAGGGGTGGGATTGGGGGTGGGAGGGAGCTTCAAAGGGGAGGGGACACATGTACACCTATGGCTAATTCCTGTTGATATATGCAGAAACCAACACAATATTGTAAAGCAATTATTCTCCAATTAAAAATAAATAAATTTTATTGGAGAATAGTTGATGTACAGTTTCATGTAATTTCGGGTGGGCAGCAGGGTGAGTCAGGTATGCATGTACATATATCCACTCCTTTTTTAGATTCTTTTCCCATATAGGCCATTACAGAGTGCTGAGTACAATGTTCTGTGCTATACACTAGGTTCTTATTGGTTATTTTATACATAGTAGTGTCTATATGTCCAGCCCAATCTCACAGTTTATCCCTACCCCCTATAAATTTTATTATGATAATTTTTACTATTTACTTATTTATTTTTGGTCGCACTGGGTCTTGGTTGCTGCACCCAGGCTTTTACTAGCTGTGGAGGGCAGGGACAGCTCACAGCAGGGCAGAGCGCAACAACCTTGCGTGGTTGCAGAGCGCAGGCTCTAGGCACCCAGGCTTCCGTGGCTGCAGCGTGCGGGCTCAGCAGTCGGCTGCTGGGCTCCAGAGCACCGGCCCAATAGTTGTAGCGCGTGGACTTAGTTGCTCTGCCGCGTGTGGGATCTTCCTGTATCCAGAAATGAACCCATGTCTCCTGCATTGGCAGGCGAATTCTTTACCACTGAGCCAAGTAAATGAATGGTTAGATCTTTTCCTAAAGATGTCTTAAGGGATATTGTCTTTAAAAATCACTAAAATATTTTAAGGTTAAAAAATGAGGTTTCAATGAGGTTGAAACATTTAGAGGTAGATCTAAAAATGTAGATCTAAAACCAGAATACTGCAATTCATTATTTTTAGGATATTTTGATATTTGGTTAACTATATATTTTTCCAACTTTCTTACTTAGATATAAAAATTTTAGAAAATGTATAATGATAAAAATTGATTGTGACTCTTCAGAGAATGCTTTATTCTGCTTAGTATTTTTATATTTTTATTTTGATGTTTACTAGAAAAATGTTTCCTCTTAAACTATGTGAATAAATGTTAAAAAAAATTTAGAAATATCTGCCTGTAACATAGAAATAAATATATTTTGTTTAGATATCTTTGAGTAGAAGAAATTTTCAGAATTTTTAATTTATGAATCATACTTCTGACCTTTTTTCACTGTTATTCATTATTTTAATTACCACTTCTAGAATGACAATATTCCATGAAGTTTTCAGTTGGATAAATATTTGAATTCCTTAGGAACTGAGAATATTATGGCCAAACTTTGCTCTCAGATAAAGCATAATAAAATCAAAGGGCAACCTGAACACAAGATCAAATCTCAAAGTCTTTCAAAGAGAGGTGTCTATTTAACTGACTCTACAAGACTGTTATTTCTACATTATACAAAATATAACTTCCATGTCATGTAATTAATAGTTAATAGTGACATACAATTTTTTTTAACCTCAGTTACAACTAGTTGCCGATTTCATGTCTTGGTTCACGGTTCACTGTCATTGTAGAAGCCTGGCGGGGTACAGTCCATAGGGTCCCAAAGAATCAGATGTGACTGCAGTGACTTAGCACGCATGCACGCACACTGTCAGTACTCAAGGCACAGCTCTTCTCTTGTTTGGCTTTGTCTTAATTTTATTTCCTCTTCAAGTCCCACTCCAGCTCATATCTACACCCCTTCCCCACAGTATATGGTGATATATTTTACATCTTAGAAAAATTCTGTATCCCTAAAACATGTAGTGTTTCTTTTGTGGAAAAAATATTTATGAGTGAGATTGTATGATATTGTGGCAGGAGGTTGGGTGGAGGACAGTAGAAAAGTATCAGTGAGTATAAATTTCATATTTTGAACCCAGCACATAGCTCAACACTTAGATATTATTCAATTAAAAAAGAAAGAAAGAAATCATCTAGACCTGCATTCTGGTTTCATCTCTATTAGTAAAGAGCTGCATGCACTCAGAGAGGCAGGTTTCCTCTCAGATTCCTCCTCTGTGAATTGAAGGTTTCTACATTATGATCTTGAGTTTTTTCCTAGCTCCTGCTTTCTGATTTTAAATGTAGTATCTACTGTAAATGTGTGATTGCAGAAATCCTTTGGTTCTGGGGAGTCTGAAGAACAGAGTGCCACCTAAACTTCTGTGTGTCATGGCTGTGATATTTATATACCAATGCCCCAATGTTTTTGGCCAGATACTGAATCAGCCTAACTTCAGCCATGAAGTACAAACATTGCAGGTATTTCAAACACTGCAATGCCTCTACGATGCACAATGCCCCGTGTCATCTCTCCTGCTTATTGGCAAAGCCTCATCATTGTTGTATAAATACGCATACCCTGTTGCATTCCCCATTTATTTCTAGTTCTCATCCCTATGATTTACAGCCATTAGGACTTGGCGAAAAGAGGAATGAGAAGGAAAATGCATTATTCTTAGCTTGTGAGGTTTACAGGGGGAGAAGCCAGGCTTGTTAACATTCTGTTCAGGCACTGCTGTGTTATGGAAGACTTTCCCAATCTCTTTCCTCTTCCTTCCTTCCTGCTCTAGGCTGGATTAGGTGTCCCTTCTTATCCTTCTATAACCTTGTGTTGCACTCTATCATTTGATGTGCCACACTGTTTCCTTTTATTTGTTATTTTATGATGATTGGCTGCACTGGATCTTCGCTGCTGGGCGGGTGGGGGTTTTCTGCAGTCACGGCGAGCGGGGGCCACTCTTTGTCGCAGGGCATGCGCTTCTCGCTGCGGTCTGGTGGCGTCTCTTGCAGAGCACAGGCTGCAGTGCAGGGGCTTCAGCAGTTGCGGCTCCTGGGCTCTAGAGTGTAGGCTAAGCAGTTGTGGCACGTGGGTTTAGCTGCTGAGAGGCACTTCCGATCTTCCCAGACCAGGGATCGAACTCATGTCCCCTGAATTGGCAGGTGGATTCTTATCCACTGTATCACCAGGGAAGTCCCCCACATTGTTTTCTAAGTTTCTGTTTTTGTACCTGTATCTTTGACTAGCTGAAGTGCTCTCCTGTTATGGACTGTGTTCTTAATTATGTTTGTTTCTAGCACAGTGCCTGGCACATCCGCAGGATTTTGTTGAATGAATAAATGAATGAATTTAATTGATCAGACTCTGAATAAAGAAACAATTTAACCAAAACCTATCCTTTATAGCATAACAATATTTACCTGAATACAATGTATTAATACAATAGTTGAATCTTTTATCTATTTGAATGTTTATTTCTTAGCTGTTTGGGACTGAAATACCTCTAAATTTAATTGCCTCCATGTTCAGACTGAGGAGTTGGA